AAGATATAATGAAAGGAGGTTCTTGGCAGGTTAGAGATAATTGGGGATATGCTAAGGAAGTTGAATTAGAAGAAGAAAATGGAGATGGGAGTGAGCTTCACACTTTAAAGGGAAGGACAGTATTCTTCAGCAACATAAGACAATTACTGCCTTAATTGACAAGGTAAAGATCAGGAGGAACAAATCAAGGAACTACTGAAAGAAAATGAGGCATGGAAAGTGAGAGTTGTGAATTTGACGAAATTAACAAGAAAATACTCATATGGTGAACAAATCTTAAAAAACCTTAAAGGCCAACAGAGTTGGACAAGGATATGCAAGGAGAAACGTCATAGACAACTCGCTTAGTGGAGGTTCATAAAGAACTGGCAAAGTGCAGAGGAAATTAAAGACGTATACGCAATTTGTAAAAGAGAAAGAGACGCTCAAGGAAGTGTGTTTGGAAGTCAAAACCAGAAATCACCAACAAGAGGCAGAAGTTAGGCAAGCAATTAAGAAAGAACTGGTTACCAACAGTAAATTAGTACAAAGCACTGCAGATAGAAGCAAGTTCATAATAATTTTTGGGTGTTTTGAAAAGGAAATATCTAGGGTGGACAGAGCAGCAAGAGAGATGAAAATGGAGAAAATAGGTTTTTTAAAGGAAAATGTCGGTAATTTTTAGAATAGGAAAATATGAGAAAGACAAGAACCGCTTCTTCAGGGTGACATTTAATGGAGTGAATCAAATGATGGAAGTGCTTAGAAATGCCAGGAAAGTGCAGTGTGATGAGGGTGGCAAACTTTGGTCAGTAAGACAAGACCTCACAAAGGAAGCCGGAGAAAAGCTGAAAACAAACCTCGAAGTGAAACGTCTAAATGGAAATTGAAATGACAATTTTTTTTTTTTTTTTTTTTTTTTTTGTGGGGGAGGAGGAAAAGGAGAAAGAGAAAGTCGATTGACTGATGAGAGGCGGGCCAAAAGAGCCAGAGCTCAACCCCCCACAAGCACAACTAGGTGAATACTGTACACAAGAGGCTGTTCTGGAAACAGGAACTTGGCTGGAGGGGTGACGATCTTGATCTTGGGATGATTTCGGGGCTTAGCGTTCCTGCGGCCTGATCCTCGACCAGGCCTCTTTTTTGTTACACATCCCTAGGAAGCAGCCCGTAGCAACTGTCTCTCCTAGGTACCTACTTGCTGCTAGATGAACAAGGGCATCAGGATGAAAGAAACTGCCCATTTTTATTTCTGCCTCCACCTGAACTCAGAACCTCAGGACTATGAATCGGAAGCTCTGTCCACTCAGCTGTCAGGCGCCCCCCCAGTGACAGGGAGACTTCTGACTGACATGGATAAAAAGTTTTTTAACACAGATGAGGGCAGTAATCAGACACACTATATCTGATTGGAGGAGTGTTACTAGTGGAGTACCGCAGGGCTCGGTTCTTGCACCAGTAATGTTCGTATCATCCTTTGCAGATGACACAAAAATCAGTATGAAAATTACCTCGGCTGAAGACATTGAAAAACTTCAAGCTGATATTAATAAAGTTTTCGACTGGGCATCAGAAAATAACATGTTTAACAGTGATAAATTCCAGGTACTCAGGTACGGTAAAAATGAGAATCTTAAACATAATACAGAGTACAAAACACAATCAAATGTACCCATAGTAGGAAAACAGCATGTAAAGGATTTGGGAATAATAATGTCTGACGACCTAACGTTTAAGGAGCATAACCAAGCAAATATTGCGACAGCCAGAAAAATGATAGGATGGATTGCGAGAACTTTCAAATCCAGGGATCCCATCACAATGGTTGTACTCTTCGTCACTTGTGTTGTCCCGTCTTGAGTACTGCTCAGTACTCACTTTCCCCTTCAGAGCAGGAGAGATTGCTGAAATAGAGGGAATACAGAGAACATATACGGCATGCATAGATGCAATAAAGCACCTAAATTATTGGGATCGTCTCAAAGCCCTCCAAATGTACTCACTAGAAAGACGAGAGAGATATCAAATAATATACACCTGGAAGATACTGGAGCCAAGTACCAAATCTACACAGTAAAATAACAAAGTACTGGAGTGAACGTTATGGAAGAAAATGTAGAATAGAACCAGTGAAGAGCAGAGGTGCCATAGGCACAATCAGAGAACACTGTATAAACATCAGAGGTCCGCGGTTGTTCAACGTCCTCCCAGCAAGCATAAGAAATATTGCCGGAACAACCGTGGACATTTTCAAGAGGAAACTAGATTTATTCCTTCAAGGAGTGCCGGACCAACCGGGCTGTGTTGGGTATGTGGGCCTGCGGGCCGCTCCAAGCAACAGCCTAGTGGACCAAACTCTCACAAGTCAAGCCTGGCCTCGGGCCGGGCTTGGGGAGTAGAAGAACTCCCAGAACCCCATCAACCAGGTATCAACCAGGTTAGTCTACATAAATGATTTACCAGAAGGAATTATATAAACATGTTTGGGGATGATGCCAAGATACTGCGGAAGATAGGAGATGCATACGATTGTAATGCCCTCAAATGGATCTTATATAAAATAAGTGTTTGGAGTGTCAAGTTGCAAATGGAATTCAATGTGAATAAATGCCATGTTATGGAATATGGAATCGGAGAAAAGAGACTACACACAACTTACAAATTATGTGGAAGGCATTAAAAACTCTAATAAAGAAACAGATGTAGGGGTAGTTTTGGATAGTAAACTGTCGCCAGAGGAACATAAAAAAAACATTGTGAGAGGAGCGTATGTGTCACTTACGAACTTCAGAGTTGCTTTTTATTATATGGATGGTGAAATATTAAAGAAACTGTTCATAACTTGTGAGACAAAAATTGGAATATGCAACAATTGTATGGTGCCTAAATCTCAAGAAGCTCATAAATAAACTGGAGATACAATGGTATGTGACAAAATGGCTTCCGGAATTGAAAAACTAAAGTTACGTGGAGAGACTAGAGGCGGTAAACAAGCCAAAACTAGAAGATAGAAGAAAGAGAGGTGATATGATCACCACTTACAAAATACTAACAGGAATAGACCAAATTGACAGGAATTCCTGAAATCAGCAACTTCATAAACAAGAGGATACAGATTCAAGCTAAAGAAACAAAGGTGCCAAAAAATATTGGAAAGTTTTCTTTGGCAAACAGAGTGGTACTATAGATGGCTGAAACAAAGTGAGGTGGTGATGGAGGCCAAAGCTGTCGGTAGTTTCAAAGCGTTTTACAACAGAGTACAGTACTAGGAAGATGGGACAACACGAGTGTAGCTCTTGCCCTGTAACTACACTTATGTAATTACTGCCTTAATAATTAACCCACTTGAGTAGAACAAGGAAGGAGAAGGAACAAGGAGCAACACCACATACAGGGACAGAGGGGGTACAGAGAAATACCGATATACCTTGTACCAGCAAGATGATCTAAGTAGTATTTGAGAATTTCAGTAGGGAACTGAAGGAAATGGACATAATAGAAAGCCTCCAGAGTGGACCATAGTCAGGTAAGAAAGAGAAAACAAACTAGAGGAGAGTCCTAGTCAGACTCAATATGAGCCAAACAACTCCCTGGAACTAAGGAACAAAACTGAAGGGCATTTTCCAAGGATGCTCTCTTTTGCAGAAATGATGCATTTCAGCCTAGATGCTATGTCTGCTTTGAAAGATGCAGCTATGAAAGCATTTACTTTGCAGGAAGCAGCAAAGTGCACTAATCAGCAGCTGGAAAGGAAAAAACACTGGTGGTGGTGGTAGTTGGGGAAAACAAAAATTTTGACCAGATGTGGAGGAAGGATTGAACAATTGTGACAAAGGTCCTGTAGGGTACATATGGAGGAGGCTGATAGCAGCGTAGAGAAGGTTCCAGGCTAGGTGGTTACAAAAGGGAACGGAAACAACTGATGAAGATAGTATTCAAGAATGAGGCAACATAAGAAGCAATCTTATCTGGGTACCATTCCTTTCCCCCGTCCCATCCCAAATCCTTATCCTGACCCTTTCCAAGGGCTATATAGTCGTAATGGCTTGGCGCTTTCCCCTGATAATTCCTCCTTCCTCCTCCCGGCTCTTCACCTCCCCCCTCTCTCTCCCGGCTCTTCACCACCCCCCCCCCATCCCCTCTCTCTCCCGGCTCTTCACCTCCCCCCCTCCCCATCCCCTCTCTCTCCCGGCTCTTCACCTCCCCCCCCCCCCCCATCCCCTCTCTCTCCCGGCTCTTCACCCCCCCCCCCCCCCATCCCCTCTCTCTCTCCCGGCTCTTCACCTACCCCCATCCTGTCTCTCCCAACTCACCACCTCCCACATCCTGTCTCTCAGCTCATCACCTCCCCCATCCTGTCTCCCAGCTCATCACCTCCCCCATCCTGTCTCCCAGCTCATCACCTTCCCCCATCCCCCGTCTCTCCTATCACTTCACCTTCCCCTATCCCCTGTCTCTCCCGGCTCTTCGCCTCCCCCGGCTCTTCGCCTCCCCCGCCTCTCCCGGCTCTTCGCCTCCCCCGCCTCTCCCGGCTCTTCACCTCCCCCCCCCCCCCATCCCGGCTCTTCACCTCCCCCCCCCCATCCCGTCTTTCCCAGCTCACACCCTATCCAGCATCATTTGTTGACCCCCTCTACCACATCACCTGTCATCCCCACAATTTTCTGCATGACCAATTGTCCCTCCCGCACCACCCACAGCCCTCCCGCACCACCCGTCGACCCACAGCCCTCCCGCACCACCCGTCGACCCACAGCCCTCCCGCACCACCCGTCGACCCACAGCCCTCCCCCCCCCCCAACATGGCACTCTGCATGGTTGACTGATCATTCCTAATACTGTACATTATTCAGTTATGAAATCTACATTGTTGAACATTACATTATATCATGGAGATGTAATACTCTATACTGTACTGTATTAAGTATGTAGTATTCTTTGTTGTATTTGTAGAGTATTCTTATTTGTTTATTACCCCCCTTCCTCAAAATATTTTTACTAAATGGGTTTTTAATTTTTAGGTACGAGGATTATCTACGAACGAAACTTCTTATTGCAAATGCGGAATTCTCCATTGGCCAGGACGCCTCCCAAGAACCTGCCAGTGATACCAGGAGTAACTACCAAGGATGATGCTGTTGTTCACAGGGAAAATGGAACGATTTCAGAGGAGCCAGAGAAACCGGGTAAGTTGCTGGGGGTTACTATACCATGTAATAGTTCTGAGTGTCAACATCCCCATCTCCTGTGACTTAACCATTTTACCACTTACCCACAAGATGCTTATATGGTCCTCAATATACTACAGTAAACTAAAACCACTTTCATCCTCTTAATTAAGGGCTCGAGAGCTTCAAAATATCCGTCTAGTTATGAAATACTGTATCGTATAAAATGTTAAACAAATCTTAACGTTACTTGGCATCAGTGTCATAAAAATTTAATCCCAATATGTTAAGAAATGGATTGTATACGAATATTTAAAAAAGTGCTGATGATAAGGAGAACAGCTCCTATTAACTGGAACTGAGGGATAATGCAGTAATAAAGATGCAAGCACCTGTCCGACGCACAAAGAACAACAGTAGTAAGGAGGGTCCACAAAGTGGATATGCACCTGGTGCCTCTCTGGCATTACTGAGTAATAGTACATAATAACACAAATAATAATGAGTGTGTATGTTTTGCTGTATTTTGTTATATATCATATAAAATCATTGTCCAATGCCAATATCTGTTAGTTCCATAAATGTCCAACAAATTATTATTATTATTATTTAATTTCTCAACTTTGTTTATAATCTGATTTTGTTGTATCTTCTACATCTTGGAGAATGCATATCGTCACTAAGTATGTGAGGTTTAAATGAAATTGGTCAACATGTTAATCAACCACAGGTGGCAGAAGTTGACTTTAATTTAGTTTTTGGCCGAACAACATACAGATTTCAAACTATTCTTTGTCTCTTTAGCGTGCACTGATGAATGGGGAGCAGATGTGGGCCTTATCACTTACATAAAGTATACTTATTATCCTTATTAACCCATTATCCTTATCCCCATAATTTTTTTTTTTAGGGTATTTTTTTCTTGACTTCATTTCAGTACATATTGACAACTTTCACATATTCGAGTACGATTGCCAAGGGATGTGTATTAAAACATACAAGAACATTCATAAATTACAACAACCATAGTCGTTGTCGATAACTTCAACTTCAATTACTGTACATATCTCTAAAACTGGAATTTGAACTGCGAGACACTTCAAAAATCCAGTTTCTGGCCGATTCTCACAATTTTCACACTTCATGTGCACAGTGGTCCGTTCTACAGTATTTATATTCTGTTTCTTTCATATACGCTAAACTTTCGGAGTTATAAATATTTGTCTTAATTTTGGCACTTATAAAACTGCCACATTGACTAATTTTTTTTAGTAAACTATACTGCCAAACTAAGTTCTATAAAATAAAAAAAAGTTTAAATTCAATAATTTGTCATTGTTTGTGTTAATGTTACGATGATGATGATCTATTAGGAAACGGCTCTCTATTAGGAGAGCATCAGTACTGAGTGAACAACCATGGCTGGTGCACGCAGCATGAGCTAACAGCACTGTTGTTCAGCTTTTGACCACAGCATCGTCTAAAAAATTTAAAAATATATATGTAGCTGGTATTATTTAGCAATGATAGTATTACAGAAGACCCCTGAATGTGATAAAAATGACCAGGATTGTGATAATTAGCGCTGTGCTTAGTATGGTGGGAACAGTAATGCTGGGGGACGGAGGTAGCTTCATCTGCTGACTGTGTGTGGCCACCTGGTATTGTCTAGAATCACCATATCATCTTAGTAATTCACTATGGTGAACATAAATGTAGATACTTATATATAACGTGAGTATATAGTGTAATAACAGCACAAACAATATGGTGGGAGGAGGAATCTTAGTGTGGGAGGGAGGCAGCATTAGCTGTGTGTTGCGACTTCTGTTATTGTCTGAACTCACTATACCACCTTAGTTGTACAGTTATGGTGAACAAAACATGTGGATACTTGTATATAATTTTTGTATATAGTGAGGAAAAAAACAATAACAGTATGGAGGGAGGAGTGGTGTTGGCAAGTGAGGTGAGGTGAGGGGGGGGAGGTGGTGGGGTTTGATGGCCGGTGTGTGGTGGCCACTCGTAGTTGGTATGACTTGCCATACCAACTTAGTGGTTTGTTATGGTGAACAAAACATGCAGATAATTGTATATAACGTCTGTATAAGTGAATAAAAACAAAACCAGTGTGGTGGGAGAAGAAGTGTTTGCGAATGAGGTGAGGTGAGGAAGGTGGTGGCATTAGCTGGTGTGTATTCACCTAGTTGTGCTTGCGGGGGTTGAGCTTTGGCTCTTTGGTCCTGCCTCTCAACTGTCAATCAACTGGTGTACAGATTCCTGAGCCTACTGGGCTCTTATCATATCTACATTTGAAACTGTGTATGGAGTCAGCCTCTACCACATCACTGCCTAATGCATTCCATCTGTTAACTACTGACACTGAAAAGGTTATTTCTAACATCCCTGTGGCTCATTTGGGTACTCAGTTTCCACCTGTGTCCCCTTGTTTGAGCCCCCCCCCCCCCCCCCCCCCCCCCCCCCCCCCCCCCCCCCCCCCCCCCCCCCCCCCCCCCCCCCCCCCCCCCCCCCCCCCCCCCCCCCCCCCCCCCCCCCACCGTGTTAAACCATTATTTTATTAACCATGTCGATATTCCTCTTAGAATTTTATAGGTAATGATCATGTCTCCCCGAGCTCCTGTCTTCCAGTGACATTAGGTTCATTTCATGCAGCCTTTCCTCGTAACTCGTGCCTGTTAGTTTTGGGACTAGCCTAGTGACATATTTTTTAACTTTTTCCTAGCTTAGTCCTGTGCTTGACAAGGTATGGGCTCCATGCTGGGGCCGCATACTCCAGGATTGTCTTACATATGTGGTATACAAAGTTCTAAATGATTTCCTTACTCAGGTTCCTGAAGGCAGTTCTGATGTTAGCCAGGCTTGCATGTGCCGCTGATGTTATTCTTTTTATATGGGCTTCAGGAGACAGGTTTGGTTTTATATCAACTCCTAGATCTTTCTCTCTGTCCATTTCATGGACGACTTCATCTCCCATTCAGTATCCTGTTTCTGGCCTCCTGTTTCCATTGCCTAGTTTCATTACCTTACATTTGCTCGGGTTGAACTATAGTAGCCATTTGTTGGACCATTCATTCAGTTTGTCTAGATCATCTTGTAGCCTCATACTGTCTTCCTCTGACTTAATCCACCTCATAATTTGTTTCATCGACAGCAAACATTGAGAGGAATGAGTCTGTTCCCTCTGGGAGATCATTCACATATATCAGAAACAGTATCGGTCCAAGGACTGAACCCTGTAAAATATTCACCTAGTTGGACTAGCAGAGGTTGAGCTCTGGCTCTTTGGGCCCGCCTCTCAAACTGTCAATCAAATTCTCCCTCCCCTCCCTCCCAGGCAACAGCCCGTAGCAGCTGTCTAACTCCTAGGTGCTTATTTACTGCTAGATAACAGGGGCATCAGGGTAAAAGAAACTACCCATTTGTTTCTGTCTTCGCCGGGGATCGATCCCCGGACCCTAGGCCTACAAATACCGAGCGCTGTCCACTCAGCCGTCAGGCCCGCCTGTGTACTCGCCTAGTTGTGCTTGCGGGGGTCGAGCTCTGGCTCTTTGGTCCCGCCTCTCAACTGTCAATCAACTGATGTACAGATTCCTGAGCCTATTGGGCTCTTATCATATCTACATTTGAAACTGTGTATGGAGTCAGCTTCCACCACATCACTGCCTATTGCATTCCATCTGTTAACTACTGACACTGAAAAAGTTCTTTCTGACGTCTCTGTGGCTCATTTGGGTACTCAAGTCTCCACTTGTGTCCCCCTGTTCATGTATCACCCATGTTACAGTTTATCCTTATATAACTACCCTGTCAATTCCTCTTGGTTGATACCTGGTTGATGGGGTTCTGGGAGTTCTTCTACTCCCCAAGCCCGGCCCGAGGCCAGGCTTGACTTGAGAGAGTTTGGACCACTAGGCTGTTGCTTGGAGCGGCCCGCAGGCCCACATACCCACCACAGCCTGGTTGGTCCAGCACTCCTTGGAGGAATAAATATAGTTTCCTCTTGAAGATGTCCACGGTTGTTCCGGCAATATTTCTTATGCTCGCTGGGAGGGTGTTGAACAACTGTCGACCTCTGCTGTTTATACAGTGTTCTCTGATTGTGCCTATGGCACCCCTGCTCTTCACTGGTTCTATTCTGCATTTTCTTCCATATCATTCACTCCAGTACGTTGTTATTTTACTGTGTAGATTTGGTACTTGGCCCTCAAGTATCTTCCAGGTGTACATTATTTGATATCTCTCTCGTCTTCTTTCTAGTGAGTACATTTGGAGGGCTTTGAGACGATCCCAATAATTTAGGTGCTTTATCGCGTCTATGCGTGCCGTATGTGTTCTCTGTATTCCCCCTCTTTCAGCAATCTCTCCTGCTCCGAAGGGGGGAAGCGAGTACTGAGCAGTACTCAAGACGGGACAACACAAGTGACTTGAGTACAACCATTGTGATGGGATCCCTGGATTTGAAAGTTCTCGTAATTCATCCTATCATTTTTCTGGCTGACGCAATATTTGCTTGGTTATGCTCCCTAAATGTGTGGTCATCAGACATCATTATTCCCAAATCCTTTACATGCTGTTTTCCTACTATGGGCACATTTGATTGTGTTTTGTACCCTGTATTATGTTTAAGGTCCTCATTTTTACTGTACTCGAGTACCTAGAATTTATCACTGTTAAACATCATGTTATTTTCTGATGCCCAGTCGAAAACTTTATTAATATCAGCTTGAAGTTTTTCAATGTCTTCAGCCTAGGTAATTTTCATACTGATTTTTGTGTCATCTGCAAAGGATGATACGAAGCTGTGGCTTGTATTTTTGTCTATATCAGGTATGAGAATAAGGAAAAGCAGCGGTGCAAGGACTGTACCCTGAGGTACGGAGCTTTTAACTGCGCTCGGACTTGATTTTATATGGTTGACCGTTACTCGCTGAATCCTGTTTGACAGAAAACTGAGTATCCAGCGTCCTACTTTACTGGTTATTCCCATTGACTTCATT